CGCGTGGGGGGGAGGTAAGGGGGGGGGGGGGGGGGGACAGAGTTCATTTTGTGCTTTTGCATTAGCATCATAAACCCCATCTGGACAGCTCAGAGACTGGGACCTGCTTGTTAATCTCCACCGCGGCTGTTGCTTCTCTCTCTCCCCCAGACGGGACCAGCACGGAGGCGGAAGAGAGGGGGGATAGGGCAGCAGACAGCTGGATCACAGAACTGGAAGGGACCTCGAGAGGTCACCAAGTCCGGTCCCCTGCCCTCGCAGCAGGCCCCAGCACTGTCAGACCAGCGGTTCCCAGCCTTTTCCAGATGGGGACCCATTTTGACAATTCAGGAAGACTTGGTGACCCAGGGCAATTCAAAAACGGGGGAAACGGCAGGGGCAGAACCAGCTGGGAAGAAACTTGGCGACCCTTTTGAAGCGTAATGGCGACCCATAGTTGGGTCCTGACCCATAGGTTGGGAAATCCTTGTCTAGACCATCCCTGACCGGTGTGTGTCCAACCTGCTCTCAAAACTCTCCAGCTACGGAGCTTCCACAACCTCCCCAGGCAATTTATTCCGGTGTTCCACACCCTGGCAGGGAGTTTCTCCTAATGTCCAACCTCAACCTCCCTGGCTGCAATTTAAGCCCCTTGCTTCTTGTCCTGTGCTCAGAGGTTAAAATAATACAATTTCACCCTACAACTTGAAAACTGCTCTCATGTCCCCGCTTCGTCTTCTCTTTTCTAGACTAAACTAGCCCAGTTCTTCCAGCCTTCCCTCCTAGCTCATGTTTTCTAGACCTTAGATAATTTTGGTTGCTCATCTCTGGACCTTCTCCAATTTCTCCACATCCTTCCTGAAATGTGGGGCCCAGAACTGGACACAAGACTCCGACTGAGGCCTGATCAGCGCAGAGCCGAGCGGGAGAACGACTCCTCGTGTCTGGCTCACCACACGCCTGTCAATGCCACCTAGAATCAGGTTTGCGTTTTTGCAACTGTCCCACTGTTGACTCCTATTTAGCTTGTGGTCCACTCTGAGCCCTAGACCCTTTCTGCAGGGCTCCTCCCTAGACAGTCACTTCCCATTTTGCTCGTATATAACGGATTGTTCCTTCCTAAGTGGAGCACTTTGCATTTGTCCTTATTGAATTTCATCCTATTGACCTTGGACCATTTCTCCAGGTTGTCCAGGTCACTGTGACGTATGACCCATCCCCCAAGGCACTCGCAACCAGTGGTCCCTGTAAGCTGCACGCTCAGGCAGCCAACCAGGAGAGATTCAATGATTAGCAGAGCGCCCACAGCCGGCAGCATGTGTGGCCACTAGCGGTGCACCTTGGCACATGCCTCGGTGCGCAGAACAAAATGTATTCCTCACATGGACAGAAAGAACGAGAGGGAACATTGCTGGCCACCCCTCCCCACTTGGGATCATCCAGGAACTTTGTGAGTGGGCTCTCTAGGCCAGTCTCCAAACCACGGATGAAGCTACTGTACAGTGCTGCCATCGGTCCAATTCCGATCCCTACAGCCTTCCACTCACCTGCCCCCCGGCTCCTTCGCCTCTCACTCAAAACCCTGCCGGTACCCGGGTGGGAGACCCCAGGAGGAGTCTGTCGCTTTCAGGCCAAGTACATGTCATAGTGCCGCAACTCCAGGGACCGTTCTCAGCTCCCTCCGTCTCCCTCCTTGGCAGCCCTGGCTCTTGCCCACTTGCCCGAATGACACAGATCCAGGGAAAAGCAGATCTTCCAGCTGACGGCCAACACGCCCAGCCAACCCCCCCCTGCAGAGAGCCCGGGCAAGGCCCAGTAAGGCCTGGAGGGACCTGTACAGGGGCCTCTGCAGGGGGTGAATTTCACTGTAATGGCAGGATGCTCATGCTCCCGTGACTGTTCAGTAAAACCTCCTGCTCCTGTCTCCGTGCAGCCTCGGCCTCCCAGAGCCATGGAGCCGCCGCCCCGCTGGGTCCCAGGGCCCCCGTACCTGCGAGTGCTTGGAGACCCAGTGGCGCAGCACGTTGAGAACTCGGTTGGTGGCAGCTCTCCGGATCACGAACTCCTTGTCCCCGTTCCGCTGGTCCGGGGGGAAGCCTAAAGGCATTGCAAGCAGCCCAGCACAGACCTTTGTGTTAGGAATACTGTACCACGGTCCCCGCACTCAGAGCCCCGCTGGCCGGCTGGCACCTCCGACCTTAGGGGGGAGCGCTCCGGACCCTGCTCCCCGCGGCCAGGCCGGTACGAGGCAGGTAACTGGCCAGACTGGGGTGGCACTGGGGCCGGCCCAGCAATCGGGGAGGCTGCTGGCTCAGCCGGGCACTGGG